ATATTAATATAAAGACAAGTGATTTTCAATAAACTGTACTCGATTTACTTATACAAATTACTTTTAATTCAGTTTAATCAGAATTAACTATATGTTGATGAAATTCATTCTATTTTCTAATCGTTTAATTTATTCATAATTTTATCTCTTACTTCCTCATATAATCAATCAACTTGATATGATAGAATCGAATAAACTCTATCAACTTATGTTTTATCATCACATTTTATTCAAAATAACTTATTTAGTTACAATATTTAATAAAACATTGTCATTGATTATTATCAAGTAAAAATGAATCTGAAAGATATTCTACCAAAGAAAATAATAAAACATAATTAGTTATGAGAAAAATATATAGTCGATAAATTTTCTTTCTATTTAGATTTATAAGTATTTCGAATCTCAATCTTTTATGATTTATTTCTTGCTCAAATTCAAACAAATAATATATAATTAAAAGTAAAACAATGGGTTATTGTTCAAACATTACGTAAACATTTTTGAACTAATAAAGTTATGTTATTTTCTAAGAAGTACATCTTAAACGAAAAATTCAAATATCCTCAAAAGTTTTTTTGTAATAATTAATAAACAAATTATATCATTGAAGAAAGTTTAGACATCCGAGAAACTTAACATTTGAAATATAGTGTAAAAGACAAAACTAGTTTCTTGTTCAAATTCTTAATGCACCTAAAGAGAAAATGTTTTTTTATATTAGTTGATAAGTTTATCGATGCTATTTATCGAAGGAAACAATCGTTATTTAATAACTCTTCAAGGTGAATCAATCATTTTAAAAATAAACTTGTAACGTTAATGCTTAGAATTGAACAAAATTCAGAGACAATATTCTCAACTCATACAATTCATAGTGATTACCAAAATACAAAAAATTTGAAGTAAAATTAGGCGTCTTAATTCTAATAAACATTCTTTTTTCAAATGAAAAATTTTAATAGACTTCATATTATTATATGCTTTACAAATGTTAACAGATATTCTTGATATTATTCAAAATGAATTTGAAACATAGAAATGTCTTTAATAACAAATTGTTGATTTATTTCTTATTTGTTTACACATTAAATGTAACTATTCTTTCATCCTTTTTTTTTCTATTATTAGTTGAATAACAAATAATTGATTTATTTATTCTAGACGTTCGAGAATATGATTATAATTTTCTAATCTTATTTTGATATCAATCATCAAAATTCAAAATCTATACTTAATGAATATAAATATAATTATTCGAAATCATCTAGAAAATTATCTCGATAAAATAATGCTTTAACGTTAGTTAATTGAACACAAGATTAATAATTTTAGTATGTAAATATTTGCAATGATTCTATTTATCATTTAACAAACTATTATTTTTCTTTTTTCGTTTTGTTTAAAGTGCCTTAATCTTTCATTTTTTAGATCGTATTGTTTTACGAATTTTAACCATGTTATAATGAAGAAATGTTAATGAATCAAAATGAAGAGTAGATTTCTACACATAAATCAATATGATAATCAAGCAATAACAACATCATAGAGAAGTACGGTTAAGCATAGAAAATCTTTCGATTAGGTTCATTGATTGAAAATGTTCGATTTGACAGTTAATTGGAAAATTGAACTGATCAGAAAGAAATTATTTAGAAATTCTAGATATTAAATTGTTTTCCCCTTGATCTAAATCTAAAGTGAATAATATATTAAAGTTTTCTCTCCAATATATTTTCACTAACATAATATAACTATATCTTTCTAGAAACATTTACACATTTGTCTCTTATTTTTCAAGTAGTCATTTGATTTGTTCGATGGTAATGTTATATCATTTATTTATATATGACTTTAAAATTCTTATAGTTTTATAAGAAGTATAAGATTTTTTTTCAATAAATAACTTCGAACAACTATAAATAGTTTGTTGTCAATTACTTATTTCTAATGAGACATTGATAATCAAAATATATTTTCATATTTATTTATATGTTTATTTAAAATAAATATTTTTAATAATTATCATAATCTATTTTTTTTAAAATAGAATTATTATTATAAAGAATATATTTATTTCTAATAGATGGGTGTGGGTGTGGGTGTGGGTCTGTGTATGATTCTTCTATTTATCTACATCCACACCCACACCCACACCCACACCCCACCCTTGAATGTGATGTAGGATTGTGTCTTATTGATCGTTTTAAAGACTATCGCACTCTAAAAGTATTTTGAATCATGTATTTCGTGATATTTTTTGCAAAATAAATGTTAATTTGAAATTATAAAAACTTTTACTATATAAAAATAATTCCGTACTCAAAAGATTAAGGAACCCATCCTTACTGATCGAATCATTTTAAAGTTATTTATGGAGAAATTTTTGAACTTGCATGAGTCGACAATTTTTTCAAATATACTTTGTTGGATAAATGTTGTCAAAATGTCACGTTTACAAGTTGAGCAGACTTGCGTATATCGAAATATCCTCTTTGATTATTAGGAAGAACGCGAGAAACGAAAAATGCAGAAAAACGAATGAGACATTGATTTTTTCAAAGCATCTACCAAGAGTACTCTGAAGAATAATTTACAGCAGAAAGTCACTCGATTACGTTTCTTCTGAGCGATGTAGCGTCGGAAAAAGATTATTCGATTGACACTACTCGGAACGCCTGACTCTGTGCATTGAATTCGACATAAAGTTCTATTGAAGCTTGTTCATCTATGAATACATATTTCAACAACATCCTCACTTAACTTTCCGGCTTGGAATGTTTGATTCACTTTATTCCACGCATTCGACTGCGCTATATGAAAACTAATCTGATTAGTACAACATCCATAGTTTGTTAATTAATATGCATGTGCTAAAATACACTGTATAGGTGATAGACTTTGATAAATGACAGATTGAACATAGCTGAATGAAAGTATCCTTATAATTCAATTACACTTTTCCTATATCCTGAACTTGCGCGACTTGAAATGTCTCGCTTGCTCTTATCCAAGTCTGCAAACAATGCTTACTTGTTACAGAACCGCCTCTTGGCATACTTATAACAATATTTTTTTGTGAATTCTCTTACGATACTATTACATACTTGAAACAACTAGAATTAAAACATTTCATCTCAATGCACTCCTGACAATCTCGAATAACACCATTTTTCTTATCTTCTTTTCTTTTTATGATTATTCATTATTCAGAGAAAAAGATTTAACTTCGCATTTTCCAGTTGAAGATTGATGGCCCATTCAGCTTGTGTCTGCTTTTCTGAACTTTATTTCTCTGTATCATTGACTAGCATTGCTGAGTCTTAAAATGGGGATGCGAATAAATAGCAAACCTAAGTCCGCTGTCTGCAGGAAATATTGAGACAAGTGAATAAGTATTCGATGAACGCTATTTATCGTTAGCAGTCCCATAATTAACTTTCTATTGTTGCGTCGTACATATTCTTAACGTCCATTTTCAACATAAACCGTTTGAGCAAACATATCCTACTTCGGGTAATTGAAAAGTAGTGGCAAAGATATTTTAAGTCGTTATAAAAATCTTAAAGAAACTTTTCAGTATCTAGTCTGATAGTAAAATCAATGTATGGTATTTGATCATACTTCAACTTATACCATAATAATAAAATTTCAATAGAACCTATTTGATTACAATGTGTCACTGTTAAATTAGTTCATATTGTCTTCTTCATTTCCTCTTTGTTCTTCTTCTCCTTTTTTCCGACTCCTCCAATACGTAGCTGTCTATATATCTGAGGGTATACAAAAGAGCAGTGGCGATGGCAGAACAAAAAACGAAATACAGAAACGAGTAGCTCGCGCTTCGTCTTCAACCTGTTATTGGCGTTCACGAAACCATTTAGATGATCTCTCAATTGTCCTAAGAGAATGAGATTTGTCACCACAAACAGGACCAAATTCATCGTATATTACTCTTGCTTGAATATTCAGTACAGTGCGTATTTTAATATAGAAGCGAAAGTTTTACTTATTCATCTAGAATAGTGATGTACAGTATCAAAGTTTAACCTAGCTTTATATTTTTTTACATTCTTGAGAATACGCTAATAAACTACAGATGAAACAAGACGTTTAGGTATATAAAATTGACGAGAAAAAAGAATAAGGAGAAATTCCAGAAGAGAATACACCACATCGAAGACAATATGAACTAATTTAACAATCACACATCATAACTAAATAGATTTTATTGAAATTTTATTATTGTGATATTAATGGAAGAATGATCAAATATTATAGAAAAATAGAGTATTGCTCTTTCTATCAGACTATATTGAGAGAGAGAGAGAGTTTCTTTAAGTTTCTTTTTATAACAAATTAAAATATCTCCGCCACAACTTTTCTATTGACCTAAGTACATTTTATTTCAAGATATGTAAATCATCAAGTATTTTCTGTCTGCTAGCGTCGACTCATACCGTCGCATGTATCTGAACCAAGATGATAGAAGACACTTTCATACGTTATGCTGTACTTGTTGCATTTTCTGACTACAATCAGTCAGACTAGTGTTTTAAGTTTACCACTTCAGAGTACAGACGACAATCGATTGAAGGAAATACTATCGACCTTGTGACAATAGTAGAAGTTGAACCGTGAATCACATCTCATCTCCGATCGCATGACGGCAAAGACAAATTGAGATCAATAACCGAAATTTCGACTGGAACGAATATATTCATTTCAAAAATGACTTCTAATCCATCAGGTGATGCAAATGATTTATCGACGGAATCGATCTCGTCATCTTTAGAAACGAAAAAAGTCGTTCTTACTTCTAGCTCTGTATTGAATACTGAAATCGCATTCTCACTGTCTACTGCGAATAAGCAACGAGTATGTCGAACAACCTGCTGTTTCTTTACTTCCATCGTTGTTTCTCTCATTATTGAAATTAAACTGATGACTATTAGTTTTTATGTAAGAAAAAATGTTGAAAAAAAATGTGATTGATTATCTAAGAAGAAAATGAGTTTAATTTGTTTTAATTAGCTAATAAAGATTGGCATGCATAGTGTTAATATTTCTTGCATTACAACTGTCTTCGTTTAACAAGTTATATTACAGGACAGAAAGTGACTAGATCAAAGCATCAACCTTTTGTTATTTAATAATTCTATTAATAAGAAAAACTTTCATCTTCTTAAAACATGAAAATATAATATTATTATGCACTTATATGGTCCAAGGCCATTGATAATGAAAATTGAACAAGCAAGCAAAGAAAGAAACGAGTACTTTTTCGGTTTCCATATAATCATACTTCGTTGCACGACTAAATTTACATTCTAGATACTGGAGAAGTATTATTTCCACCAATCGTGATCTTCACAACCTAAAAACTCTATTAATTATATTGAACAGACAAAATTCATCGTTACTCTTATGACCTAGTTGAATGCGGAGATTCCAATTGGTGATTAATAATGGTAATGTATCATTCCTATTTGCAACGAGAATAGACTCAATTTAAAATTATAACACACTAGAGTTAGCAACGGAAATTATAAAACATTTGTATTGATATTGCAGTTGATCATATGAATGCGCAATATTAATAGCATAGCTGATAAATTTAAAGTACTACACGTCGTATATAATTTTGGTTTTAAAAAAAATTCTTCTATTTAGTTTTAGATAATAAATAGAATCGGCAAGTTATTGAGATTGTGTATTTAATATAATTGAATTTAGTCTAACATGACGGATTGTTTTTTTTTCTGTTTCATAGGACATATTGTCTTCTGTCAGAGTATATAGTGTTACTTGATGCAAGAAAATTTCATTCAAATATAAAAGAATATGCAAAGATCTATTGAAAACAAATCATTTCTCATCGGACACAAAACAACATTGATAATTTATCGTTCATAATAAAACAGTCTAGCATGGATTTCTTTGAATGAAATGGCTTCTTTCCTATTAAATAAACTTTCCATTATTTTCTTTGACGGAAAAAATACGAGTACTTGAGTTGAAAAAAGTTTGTTTTACGATCACTAGTGATTTTTCTTTTCTTTAATAATTGCTTGACGAAGTCACATTCAAAGTATTAGATTTGGTTAGCTAAACAAATTTTATTCTAATTGGTTTCTAGTAAAGTAATAAGGTCAAGCAATAGAAAATAAATCGACATAATGATTTATGCTTTGTTTGCATGTCGAAGTTTTACTCAATTTTATAAGATAATCCAATCCGTAGTAACCAGAATACACAATGTACAATTAGTATAATAGAAGGGCGTTGACAACTAGAAAACAAAAGCTTATGTTTAGATAAGCATTCGGCTTGAAAAAAAACTTCTCATGTCTTTTAAACAAAATAACTTGAAAGAATATAGACAATAAGAATACTTGTAATTGTTGGTTTCATTTTCTTTTTTTTTTCTTTGTCGTTTTTCATCAATCAGTTAAGTTGAGCATCGAGAAAAAGAGAAAAAAGAAATGCGGAAAGCTTTCTCGTTTATTTCATCAACATAATATTACAGGTGTTGTTATTTTTTACATATAGTGGCAACAATGAACAAACTCGTATCTCCATTAGTATGAATAGTCAATACTTCACGTGATTTAATAGTAAGCTGTAACAAAAAAAGAAAAAGAAAAATTTCTTTTTCTTCTCGTTTATTTTGTTTTATTATTAATGGTTTTAAAAGCTTGCAAAAAAAACTTAAGAGACAAAGTGAACAGAAAATAATTCTACTCTCGTCATAATCAAATTCTTAAAAATACTTAATTCTTTTGACATGAGAGCAACGCTCTGAGGTTCTATTATTTGTTTTTCTTCTGTCTTTCTCTCTGCATTTCTTTTTTTTTCTGTTTTACTCCTGTCACTGAGATCGTTATAACAAAAAAGTATGCAACATGTCGAAATTTTGTATTTATTTTTTGTTTTTCGTTATACACAATGACATTTGTATGTTCATTTAAAGATTGATTCAATGACAAGTAATCGTATTCCATTACAAACCAGAGACTATGCAAATGTATCAGCCACGGATCGTTTAGCACTTAGTCGTGCACAACATCTTCAATTACGAGAAATTCGACCGAAATCGATCTCGGATGATGAAATTGATGCTATTTCAGATTGGTCTGATTCTGATCGTGAATGCTGTCCATTGAGTGACTTTGAAACAACGTCAAATAATGAGAAAGAAACTGATGGTAATGAAAATCATAATAGAAATAAGTTATTAGAAGAAATCTCTCATTCAAATAGTCCACTGTTATCAAGAAATCGTTTACATGTTACTGAAATACCATATTCAATAATTGATAATAGTACAACAAGTACACGGATATCGTTTACAAATGAAATCGAAAAATCAAAAGAACAAATTACTAAAAATACATCAGTTAACTCAGTACAATTACGTAAACAATCACAACAACCATTACTACCTGCTCGACGTATTGAGACAAAACAAGTTTCACCACGTTGTCCATCAACTCGTTCAATAATTACTTCTCAGTTATTGTATACTTCCCGTAATAATAAAAAAATCATGCCAAATCCAACACGTGTTTATTTACGTCGTGAAACTACTTCTACTACGATCAGTTTAAATACTAATTTAACCAAAGATTCAGCTGTATCATCAATTTATTCATTTCAAAGTCATGATGAAAATCAAAATCATCGACAAATAATATCACCAAATTTGAGTCAAACATCCGTACCACGTGCATATGAAATGAAAAAAATCTTTGTTGATGATTATGATTATGGTCGTTTAACTGATATATCATCATCACGATCATCTCGACCATGTAGTCGTCAAAAATGGGGTACAATTGTACATCCACCATTTCCACTTGGTTATCAACATATAGCTCCCGAACAAATAACACGAGCTGTTGAACGTCTTTCAAGTCCTGTACGATGTCGTGATCGACATACTCGTCTTGAAACACCATCGAAACGTTATTTATCGACTGGAGAAACTGATGCTTTGGTAAAAAATAAATTATTTTTCTTGTATTATTATTAGTTTTGTTTTTCTCTTTTTCTTTTTAGGTAAATCGATTAAATAAAGTAAAAACTATTCGAACACCTGATCAATATTGGCCAGTACAGGAACAATCAAGAACCGTTAAAACATTAAATAATAACTGGAAAGGTTGTGGCATATCAGCATAATTCACTTTGTTTTTGAATTTCAGGGTTTTCTGTGTGTGATTTTTATGCAAGAAAATATTTAAAAAAAAATCAATGTTTTTCTGTTTCTACAGGTATTTTCATTGATGCGAAAATCTATTTATTATTATTTTTCATAACTCATACTGTGAACAATCTTACCTGAAACATATATGTTACATAGTGTTGCATTGATTATTCATAATGTAATTTTGTCATACAATCAAAGGCTTCAGTTTAAGGTGACCAATCTACACTCTCTTCGATCTGCATAAATTTTGATCATTTTTTTTCATAATAAGACATTAACAGAAAAGTTTTTCAAAATTGAACTATAGCTATAACTGTAAGAAGTTTACATTTCAATTCATGACATAAGTAAATTTATATGCACTAAATTTAAAAATCGAAGTGCATCGATATATTTTTCAAACAACAAAAATTAAATTACTCAGGTTAAATCGGATATAAGAAAGCTTCTATTAAATTTAAGAGTATTTGTACAGATTATGCGATAAATTTTTGCTGTTAGTTGACCACATCCAATAATTGTTTTTAATAATCATTTCAAAAGTTCTAGTCCGATCTACACAGACGAGTTCAATCCCTGATATAGACAGTAACTGAACTGATCCATCTATTCAGTCTATGAATAAAATACAAAGCTTGAAAAAAAATCTTCATCAATTCGTCATTCTAAAATATGATGTATGCTAGAGATTCGAGGATCCATTCATTCGTCCTTTTTCCCTTCCCATTCACTATTCATGACATGGTTCAAAAAAACCAAGTGTTTCTTTTATACTTCGAAATTAATATAGAACAAGAAATATATATTGTTGTCGATCTTATTAACAATGATCAAGAATAAATAATATTATTTCTTCTCATTAAAAGTATATATACATATATAGATAAGACTTTCCAAAAAATTTGAACTTAAAAGTAATGTAAATATCTTTTTAACAATTTAAGCATTTGATATGGCTGGCAGAACTGAAACACATCAATTCATTGTTGTCAAATAATTGGAAAAAAAGATATTAAATATAGTTTCCCTTGAAATCCTATTGTTTTCTTCTACTGATTCTGACCTCGCGTAGGGAAAAGTCGAGTCACGCTAACTACGGTAAACATGCCAGTTATCGAGTCGAATAAATTCTTTAAATCCACATATTAGGAAAATTTTTTTCTACAAGCGAGTGTTTTTTATTGGTAATATGCAAAGAAGCCCCAATTTTTGTTATACTATTTTCTGTGAGTTCTGTCATAATTTGATATGCATTCGAGCAAAATTTTTCAACAGTCCACAGTGTTCAAAACATGATCTATCTGCTACGATATCATTTTCACAAAAGGGTCAAAAAATAGCTTTAATGATCTCTTTATATGATGTTTTCTTGCGAAACTCAATTGGCAACTATTGTTTTTACAATCATGGGAAATAAAACTTTAAGGAACATTAAATAAAATCATGAAAATGTCAAGTTAATAGTTTGAACTGTTAAAGAGATATACATATTTGTTTTTTTTTGCTGTGACTTTGCAATGTTCTGTATATACAATACAGGATATTTATCAAACTGAGCTATTTATTTCCAGAGTTATTCTAAAGACTTTTGAGCGGTTCATTTTCTGTAAGATTCGGAGTTTCTGTTACTCTTTCAAATGTTATACTTCGAAAGAAAGGCACTTTGTATCAAAACAAAAATGATAAAGAATTTACATGAACATTATATGTAGTTTGTAGTAAAATATGCCTATTACAGTAAAATTTCAGCTACCAATCAATCCATAAATCAACATTGAGGAGTAAAATTTTCTTTGGACATAACACGGGTATCCTAGGTAAAACTGTACTAAATCTCAATGTTTCTTTGTCTCACTTGTTATTTGTAACATTGTTTAATTATACTTTTGCAACGTTCAAAAAACCTCAAATATATCAGAATTACAAGAATGTCATAAAATTCTGCATCTTTGAATCTATGTTTTAAAAGTTTAGGTGAACTATTTGGGATAAGTGGCTTTGAAATAAAAAGAAAATGTTTTATGATAGACCTGTATAATTCTTCTTTTTGATTTCTGAATAATCTTAGTGCCTTTACTGTTCAATTTAATAGTTAAATTATTTTGTTCAAAATTAAATTCCATATCTGATACCCCAATAGTAAACCTTTTGTAGCCTCCTGATGCACACTTCCATAGACCTTGAAATGATTATTGAAGTATAGAGAACAAAAGTCTCTATGTATTGGGATATAAACAACATTTTTTAAGTGATATAAAGTGAGAGAAAAAAAAACATTGAGATTTAGTATATAATTTCACTTGGAAAATCCGTTAGTATAGACAATGACTGTATTTTTGACTGAAGCTATCCACTAAAAGTTGATGTTATACACAAGTTACAGTAGAAATAAATTCGTTCACAGAGCTTTCGTTCAGTACTATATTATTTCCTTCAAATCTAGAAAATTTAAATGTGTTATTCATAATTAATTTATAAAAATATAAATCGATTGAATTCTCTCATTGATAATAATATGGCTTTATTACAATACAATGAATATTCTGAGAGAAGGTGTGATCATTAGAAAAAAAGTCACTACTTTTCTTCTGCTTCTTCTCTATACCTTATATTTTCCATAACAATTATTAGTTCCACATATTTTGAAGGTTGTCAGGACAAGAATACGATCAACACGAACACGACAAAAATACGCAAATCATACCTCATTAGTATTCAATCGTTTTTAAGTCGCACAAAAAAAAGCCTATTGACAATTGTTCTATAATACTTGCATGTGTATTTTTAAATATAAGCTTCTTAGTTACTATTTGTTTTTATTTTTATTTTAGTTTTTAAAGCTTGATTAGACTAATGAAATCTTGCCGAAAAAAAAACGAAGTAATTTAGTTTGCTTCTTCGTTTTTTTTCTTCTCTCTCTTCTGTATGTATCAACATATCAGTTTACATATCTTTGTTCGAAAAATAAGTTATCATATTAAATTCAAATATTTATATAGAGACAAAAGATTTTTTGTTATTCGATCAGTGAGTGATTTCTTGCATTTTGTTAAAAGAACAGCGATAAAGAACAGGTTTGTATTTATAGCGAACAAAATTTTTTTTTTCGAAATTTTACTACATAAAAAACAATGTTACGTTAAGAATTCTTGGGAAAAGAAAGTTATTTAAAAATGCATTAAGCTGTAGATGTTATTAATGTTAATTAGCAATGAATACATGTGTTTTGTTACTACGGACAATCTATTAACAACGTTGAGATACTTTGTTAGACACGCATATTTAATAAAAACAATGTAGCGCAAGAAAAAGAAAAAAAAATGTTCGAGTGTTTTACGCTTTGCTAAAGATGAGGATAATATATGCGATGTAAAGAAAGCGCAATGAAAATATAGTCATACAAAGCTTTCTTTTGATTGTCGTTACGTTTTTCTTTCATTTTACACGGTGACATTTATAATAAACATCATGGACGATGAACAAGGTGAGTTACTCAAATCAAAGATAAATTATTCAATCAGCTTTTATTATAAATAGAAAATAAGAAACAAGTAGTGCGAAGAAGAATAATTGAAAATATCTACGCAATTTTTTTTCGAATAATAAGCTTTTTGTTAATTAAAAAGTTATGATTGAATAAACAAAAAATGTTCTCGCTTTTTTTAATGTGTAAAGCTTTTCTGGAAGTTTTCAGACGATTAACCAAGGAAGAATAATTGTGAGTGTCAATTTGAATCAATTAAACTCGAGTTCAAATATTCATGTCATTCGTGAATTAAATTTTATGATAATATCTTAGTCACTTCTAACATTTCTAGTCTACAATTTCTTTCGGTAACATAATCTGTACGTAATCAATCTTTTATTACGAACAAAAAAAAATATTTACTAGCACTGAATCCGTGTAATGTATGTATATAGAGTGTCCTCGCAAAGGTCACTATACAAAAGAAATTTGAATATCTTCCTTATATTATAATTCTAACGGATGAACTGATGACAGAGGACACTTACAAGTTTCACTTCATATATTCGAAGTTCTTAAATACTCCTACCAAGTAGCACTTTCATGTTCAATACTCAATAAAACCCGTTTTGTTTTTGACTTTTGAAAAAACCAATATGTGCGATTTTTCTAATATTTCTTTAAATTTTTTTTCATTATTGTGAATGCTTAACTATCTAGGTCTTTTTCTCTTCTTTTAAAAGTATTCATTCAACACTTCTGAAAAACAAAACCGAGAGTGATTATTACATTTCTTGAAAATGATTTTTTTCTCTTGCTCTATCAACAAAGCTTTCATAGAAGGTTCACTTAGTCAACTGACACGATTTTTAAGTTTTCACGCTTATCACATTTGAGTTCAATGTGTCTGCAACTGAAGAAATATAAGAAAATTCCTACATATTGTTTTTCAAAAGTCAAAATATAGGAGTATTTAATAGAGTCCTGAATCTTGTTTGTCCAGTCTCATTTTATTTTCAAAATATGTCAAACGAGATTCGAAACTGTCCAGTAGGGTTCTAGTATTTTAGAACTTTGAATATCTAGCTAGACACTTAGACGTGTTCTCTATCACCGGTACGAAAATCAATTCATCCAATACAATCAGAGATCGCACTGATTCCGTCTGTGCAACATCCATTACAAGTATAAGATTTTCAACAATAGAACTATTAAACTTATTATAAATAAATTTATCAAATGATTCGTAAAGTTTCAACGTTTTTTATTTTTAGTTGCTGAAACATTAGAAACAAGCGCAATGCCAGTATATGAAATACCTCGAGATGATCAACAAGATAATAAAGGTTTTCTAAAAGACAAACATTGTTTTACTTGAAAACATCAATTGTTTCTATTTTTGTCTTTTATAATTCTAGAAAGTGTTGTCCTTCGAAGTTCAGTTGGTGATTCAACTCAACTTACACCATTTACTGATTATCGATCATTATCAACAATGTCTTCACAAGTAAAAGAACCAGCTTCAATGTATACACTTGACAGTCGATATCAACCAATAATAAAAGGAAGTATGTTATTAAATTTGTCAAAACTAAAAATAAAATTATTCTATTATCTATACTAGATCGACAAATGCCATTTCCTGTTGAACAAGATCAACAATCAATTACACCAACATTTTTTTTCGAACCTACAATTATCGCACAACCAGTACTTTACAATATTGCCAATACAAAAGCTACTCCAATAATTTATCAACCAACATCTATCGAACAACAACCATCTATTCCTACAATCTATTCAATAAGTGGTCAACCTCGTCGTCTAACTGTTGATATGAATACTAATAGTTTAGACACTTCCACTCAAGTTATCAATAAAACACCAACACTTTATTCTATGGTCAATGGTCCGCCTGTTGAAAATGAAATTCAAGAATCAAATAAACAATCTTTACAACCACCACCACCGCCAACTGTTTATTCAATTGTTGGTAGTCCAGCACGTACATCACGTGGTGTACAAGTAAGTATGCTTAATCCTGTTCAACCAGTACCAATTTTATATACCATTACGGGTAATACATCAACTCCAACAAATAGACCAATAGAAAATATTTCACCACCAACTATGGCAAAACCATCAAAAGATATTACCGTGTACACATTAGATAATCAAGCTAATGTTCCTCGAACACAACAATACCAGCAACAGCAACAGCAACAGCAACAGCAACAACCAATTCAACCACCTACACTTTACACAATCGTCACTCAACCAAATTCACCACCAAAACAACTAACAAAGTATTCAATATGATTTTTATATTTAAAAATTATTTAGATTCTTTGTGTTTTTGTTTTTTTAATCTAGAAAATCTCCAATAAAACCGACACCAACAACAATAATAACTACTGAACGTATTAATCGCAATGCTGAACGAAAACCAGAAGTAATTAATGAAGAAATTGTATCATATTCAATAGCAAGACCTAGACAGGAACCACAAGCAAGAGGTTAATATTTATTTTATTTTCAACAGGAAAAAATAATAAAAAATAAAATTTTAGAATCAAAAGTTTCAAAACCAGAAGCAATATTAATTCCTCTTAATGATGATGAACATCGTACACGTCCACAAACAGCTCATCAATCACCTTTATTTTATTCAACTCCAGAACAAATACAACGTAAACCTCTTACTACCATACAAAATCAACCAATTCAATTATCTGATTATCGTTCACCATATGCATATCGAACACAGAAACCATATCGTGAACGTAAATATAATAACAATACATTACCTGTCGTATCAGATAATCGTCCTACACGAAAAACAAAACCACCACTTAATGAAACAAGTTCCCGTGTTGAACGACAACAATTAAATGTTCCATCAAAATCAACATCTTTAGTAATTATCTTAAACTTCTATTTCCATTTTTCAAATATGATATGTTTTTGTTTTAGGAAAGATATCCAGTTAATAGAAATGCACGTCTTGGTCTATGGGATAATGGTTATCAAACACAAACTGATGATGATGAAGAATATGCACAACAAGCTAATAAGACAAAACGATATAAAAAAACAGTGCAACCACGTGCACCATGGATACCTGTTTGGTAAACGAACATAACAGCAACAACAAAAAAAAATTTTTCTATTCAAGTTCTTCTTTTATCTTTTATATAAATAGAATGAAAAAAAATATTAAACTGTTTCATTTTGTTAATCTTCTTCTTTTCAAAAATATAAATGTTTATAGAGAGACATTAACGAATTTCATGTTTTGTACAAAATGATTTGAATTCTATAAAAGATAATAATAAGAAAAAAAAACTTATTAAATGAAAATATAATTTAACAACGAATATATATACATACCTTCGAAACTAATTGTACCACTATCATCAACATCCAGGCGTTTAATTAAGCCTTGAATTTCTTTTTCAATTATTTCTGGTGAAGTACCAATCATTTCTTGAATTGGTTTATAATATTGTCTTAATTCATCAACGGTTATTGAACCATCACCATCTTTATCCATACGACGAAATTCTTTTCGAAGTTGTTCTTCAGTAAGCGAAGCCATTTGATATTTATTTGTTTTATGAATGTATATGCATAAATATTATTCAAAGTAATACCTATTTATATATACAAAATGGATGATTTTATTCATACTTCAATGATTTTACTAATTATATGACAAGTTCGATAGACGAAGAGAAAAAAAGTGATGTCAATATGAATAATAAGAAACATAAAAACATGAATATATTGTATCATTATGATTGGTTGTAATAAGATTGATACTCATGTTTTGATTAATAAAAATAGAGTAGGATAATCATATGATAGAGGTAACACCAAGCAAGTTTCAAGTCAGAAAGAACAGCTATGAATAAGTATGTAATGAAAATATGAATAAGGTCTGAAATGTCCTTGAAAATATATCTCCAACTTTTCACATTTATGTCTATGTCTATGAGAAATAATTTGTCATTTAAAAAAGTTTTTCACTAGCAACATCGTTGTTTTTTCTTGACATTATGTTACTAATAATTAGACGCAAGTGTAAATTGGTAACTGGAGACAAAGAAAAGACTAAAATCCACACACCCTACTGTGGAAGCAGTTTCTCATGAACGAAAAGCCAACAACATGTTCGATTGTTATCAATAGAAAAAAATGTTCAAAGAGAGAAAAAGAGATAAATATTGAAATAAGAATGTATTATGAATAGTTTTCTATCTGTATTTAAACTAGACATGAGTGAGACCAGCCTTTTTTTTTTATCTCGGTCCCGCAAGAACCAACATTATCTTGTTTACAAGTATTTATAACACATGAATTATGACAATATGACATTCGACGCAAATTTTTCACGAATATAAGCCATATAATTTATAATGAAAAAGTGTTGGTCCTGGTCCTGAAATCAGCTTGCACATATCTAATTTAAACTCATTTCAAATCGAATATCTTTAATATGCATGCTTATTCAATGTTATCGATTAATTCAATAATCAATACATATATTTCTTAATTAATAAAATACACTTGATAACAATATATTACATTGTACAATTTTTGTATAACATGCACATTCAATTTTGTTTTAGTGAATTCTTTATTCTTCGGAAAAATACATTTGAATAATTGAAGAACGAAAATGAATATTAATAAATGCAACGTAGTTATTTAGAATGCAATATGCAATTTAATAGAATTTTTATGGTCTTTTTTATAGTTTGATAAAAATTGATATGATCATTTTGATTTTTAATCAATGATTTTTCCGAATGTAACAGGCAAATATCAAATCTGATTTATTTTACCTTTGAAAAAAAAATACCAAGTGCGAGATTTATTAACATGTACACACAGAAAAATAAATGAAATTTAACATTATTTCCAAATTTTAATATGTCGTTTAGCTATTTCATAGCTTACATTATTAACAATACCTTCCCATTGAAGTGTATCATTTGGTTCATTAGTACCGATGAGCCAAATATTTAATGTTAGAAGATTAATCATAGTTTTAACAAATTTACCAGCAATTTGTCTTAAATCATGTATTGTATTTAAATTAATTTGTAAATGTTTTACATTTGAAAATATTTCAAGAAAACGATTACTATCAATAATTGGTAGAGTACCACGACGTAATACAAATTTTTCAAGTTTATCATGTAATTGAGCACATACATCTTTATTTTGAAGACGATCTGTAAGAGTCTAAAAGATAATTGATAAAAATAAGGCTTTTAACATTTCCAATGGATTAAAATTGGTATATAATGTGCTATAATTTTGACTTTATTCTCAGAAAACTAATGAAGAAAGAGATAAATGTATATTGCCAATATTCTAAAGATATATGAATCTTATGTGATATTCTTTCTGTTCTTCAAATGTTAATCGAAGTGTACGGTTTGATCTTATTCTATTTAGACAGAAATATATTAAATAGGATAATTAGAATTTAATTTCTTGAGAAATGTCTCGGTTCCAACATTTGACTTCCTTAATCAGAAAATGAAAAGTAATTTGTACAAGAAATTCCTGAATATTACAAATTGAATCTATCTAAGAAATAGTATCTATATTCTCATTCAATAAAACTTACCATAAGAGTATCATAATCAGTTTTGAAATATCGTAAACAAGGTGTAAATTTCAATAAAGCAAGAAAAATAGACGTAGGTAACGGAATGAAAAGTTCAAAATGAACTAATTTATATAAATCAAGCATAGAATGAAGTTGTGAAAGTAATGCTGAATAATTAACTGGAACAATAGCATTTTGATATATCTGAAGAGCACGTACATTCGGATATTTTCGTTGAGCATAAACCTAAAATTTGTTGTTGTTTTTTTTTTAAATTTTGATTTATATGTTAGGTTTGAATTACCTGCATTGATATATTTGTTTTCAAATAAAGATCAGTAACTGAAGAAAACGCATTGTACGGTGCTTCAGTTACAGGTAAACAATGTATTGTACTAATGAATGAAAGACGACGACATGGTACAGTAAATAGATGAAATTTATTATTATCTTGTGAATAATCAACAGCTATATGCCATTGACGCCAAAATCCAGTTAAAAATGATGATGAAAGTTCATCATCAAATGTTGATGATACAGCTTTAATATCGAGTATAAGAAAACGTAATTGTTCTAATGATGTTAATATTCGTAACCATCGTTCTGAATTTAAAAAATCAATTCCAATAGCAATTAGTGTAAGTCGAAAAAGTCGTGGTAAAAAAGAAAGTACATGTGCAATATAATCAAATCGAACTGTATATATACAATTGAGTTTAAGTGTACGAAGTGTTTGAAATGGTACATGAAATGGCGGTAGAAAACCTTGAAAATTAACAAGAAGTCGATGAATAGTAAGATGTTTAAGTAATGGATAAAAATGGAAAAGTGTATGAAGATCATTTATATAAAAACTATCAAGAACAAGGCGATTAAGATAAGAATTTGGTCGAAGTTTGCTTGTAGATAAGACATCATCGTATGAGAGAACACATCTGTATATTAAAAGTTCTTCGTTTTTTTTTTTGTAAACTATATTATTGAAAATTTTTTTCTTACGTTTTTAAATATGGAATATCGAAAAGAAGACCAAGTTGAATTTTTTGTTCATACATTTTATAAGATTTTACATGAATTGATGATAAATGTTTTAATTTAATAATTTGTTTATATTCCAATTCATTCGGTTCAATAAATGACATTGTACATAAATTAGGAAATGTTATATCAATATGTGAAAATTTTGTTAAAAATAATTTAACTCCACCACATGTTTCAATATTTGATAATCGAATTGCATAAATACATGATGAATAATCAAGAAAAATTTTCGAACAATATTCATTAAATTCATGAAATGATATATTTGATGATAAATCGACATGCATTCGACGTTGAATAATTAAATCTTGTAAACGATCATTAAGCATACCAAATGCATGAATTAAATCAAGTGGTCGAAGATAATCAAAAATATCCAAGAAAATTTCATTGGCTAAATTTTCAAATTTTGATAAAGGCATTACTTTCTGGAAATCTAAAAAGATTATTAATTCTAATGATTTATGCTAAGTTTTGCATTATTAAAAAGTCTACGTGAAAAAGAATAAACTTGAACGTATTCTTAAAGTAATAAGAAGTTTTGTTTTAAGATTGAGTAGTTCTCTTTAAGTGGCTAATTGTATGCTCGATTTAACTCTAGTAATGCTTACTGGTCAGAACTAGTGAAGTCAAATCGAAAAGTTGTTAACTTCCTAAAAAAAAGAAAACAATTTTCATGGCAATCATTGATGTAATGATTATTTCAACACATGCATTTAATCTGACTAACTAGAAACTATTACAAATAGAGATCGTTGGACTTGCCCCATTTGTTGAAATCGTGATCAAATCTAGAATATTTTTTCGACTGTAAATTGAATTCCTGTTCTAAGTTACGAAGAAAATCCACACTATGTGCATCATCTTAGCTTAGTGTTGTAAAGCTTCGGTACCTGAAATTTTGAATTAAAAACAAAATGGTCGTAGAGAACTTATTGACAAGAATGATAACATCTCCAAAAACTGGCTTGGCATGTTGAATATTATCTCGAAAAAATTGACTACGGCTTACACGTCTATTCATTAGTACTTGTTATAAATTAGGAATATTCTAGTAATAGCTCAATGCTTTTCTTTTATTTCAATTAAAGTATCGAGTACTAATTTACATGTTTCAATAATATTAGAAAAAAGTTGTCACATTTTCATTGACTATTACTGTAACAAGAAATATACAAAAGCAAAAATATAGCAACTCTTAATCTCAAACTATCGAAATATACGAAATAAATAGTGGCTTCATTTCAAGCCATTGTAAATTGAATTGTTTAGATGTATCTCATCATTCAAAAAAAAAAGAAATTTAATTCATTCTTCAAATATTGATTATAGACAAAAAAGATATTAAACTTGTTTTTTTTTGTTTGTTTTCGTGTAAATTAAAAACAAAACATCTACATCATAAAACGATATTTTTTTCTTTTAATTGACAATGTTCTTTTAAATATTTTACAATACGTTCACAATCAATTCCTTGACGTTGTATATGAAAATAACCTTTTTCAGATAAATCAATAATTGTTGAACCACGTCGATCATTTGATGTTAATAAACCACCATCAATAATTAAATCGATTTGTGGCCATAATTGTTTAAATTCATTAATACATATTGAACTTGGGTCATTCGATATATTTGCACTTGTTAATGCAATAGGTTCTTGTAAACGTTGTGCTAATTCAATCATAAATTGACAATTTGGAATACGAATAGCAACATTGTTTACATTTGGATTGAAATATGAAGGTAATGATGATTGTCTTTCAAACATAAGTGTTACGGGACCAGGAAGAAGTTCACCTGTAGATAATTGTTCTTTTGTTAATGTTGGCTTTGACCAAATAAATAAATCATCAATACAACCAACAGATATTGCTAATGGTTTTGTAAATAATCGACCTTTTATTTCATAAATTTTACGAATAGCTTTTTCACTATTTACTAATGCTGCAAGACCATAAATTGTATCTGTTGGTACAGCTAAAACACCATCATGTTTTAAAATTGATACACATTTGTCTATTAAATTATTTTCATTTATTAAAACAACATTGGTTGACATGGTTTTGCTGTAATAAATAGAAAAACGACGTAATACGTGGTAATCGAATTTTTGAATAAATGGAATAATACGAATCATAAGAACATTCTATGAGAGAAGATTGAAATTCCATTCTGTTTGTTTTAAGTTCTTATCTATACCAGATACATTTTTCAAATTGAATGATAAACAATGGTTGAATCTCACTCATAAAAATAAAAAACAACAAGACGAACTAGTATTTTCTGTTGTTTATTTTGCTTTTTTTACATTTTTATTTATCCAATACTTTGATATAATAATAGTATATTTTATATAGGGGTCGCTGTAAACATAATAGTGATTTTAGATTCTTTGAATAGTATGTTTTATTATTATTTAAAAATATTCAAGTTATTCACGATATAGAAACCGATAATAATGGGTGCACCGGGATATATAGTAACGTTTGGTATTTTATTTTTTCATCATCTAATACGTTTTATTAAAAAAAAAAATTTTACCACAAAATACAGCTTGAAAATCTCTAAAATCTACAATACGAAGCTTACTTTATGTGTGTACCTTTAGTTTTCAAAATAGACAAAATTCTGTATGACCGAGTTTCCATGTTGTGAAAAAGTTATTGTTTTGATACACGATGAATTCTTTTTCTTATTTCAACGATTAATAAAATCATAGTTTTTAACTTTATTCCATTTACTACGTTTCGTAATTGATTAGCAATTCGAACTGATGTTATACCATCATTTCCTTGTATTAACTAGTACACGCATAGAGATATGATTTGCTATTACGAAGTTTGTATCAGAGATTCGCAAGTTCTTGAGTTATACCGCCTCCTAGTGAGGTAAGTACGAGATGGTGTGAGATTTGACGATTCATTTATTCTGTCTAATTGAAATTTGCTAGATGACTTTATTCAATTTTAGTAACACTAGCTAATATCGAACGCCAGTCTAGTCCTGATGGTTTGATGGTCAAGTTCAGACGTACTCGATTAAATTCAAAAGAAGTAAATAACGGATTCTTTATACGTTCAGTAAAAACTAATAAATGTCAGTTATTTATTTTGAACTCATTATATACTTTTTGTTTTTTTTTAATCTACTTATGTGTATAAATATACTTTACCACAGGGGGTGGTAGAAGCAAGAGAGAGCTGAGCCTTCTAAAAGTCTTCGAGACTTCTGAAAAGTTTTTAAAGTTATTGCTGAAGGCAGTATCACAGAAAGGCTCAGACTTCCTGATCAAAAAGCTTGCCGCCATCGCTGTCAAACTTGCACCCTATTAAACAGGTATGTATAGATAGTACTCGACCTCTGCTATACAGCCATGTAACAAAATTAAATTAATGTTGTGTAGTTTTAAAACATAACTTAAAACTAAAAAGCAGTGTGAGACTTTTGTTGTTAGCTGTATATTTTATTAATATAAGGAGACGTAAGAACACATGAGTTTCGCATTTTAGCCCCGAACAAACTGCATTAGCAAGCTTTTCAATGATAGAATTATTTATAGCTCCACCTTGCATGTATAATTAATAGAATATAATTAGGTAGTTCTTTTCTTTGGCAAAATTGGTCTTCCAGCATCTAAATTTTCTTTAAATAATTTAACAATTAAATGCCAATCATAAATATAATCAAATTTTTCTTTAAGACGATTAATTAATGTCATAAGTAAATTTCTTAAATATCCATAATCTGGTCTTTGTGTATATGATAATGTTCTTGAATATTTGTAAAATAGTTCAAATTCATATGGTAAATTTGAACAAAGTTCTTTTGAAGTTAAACTTTCTTTTATTTCCATTAATTTTTCATTACGTTTTTTTCTATTTGAATTTTTTATTGACATCCAAGGTAAAAAACCTTTAGCTAAATAAATAATTATGTAAGATAAACATTCAATATCATCTCGTCTTGATTGTTCTAATCCATGATGTGTATATAACGAACAATAACGTGCTGTACCAGTTAAAGTTTTACCAGTTCGATATAAAATATGTTCATATGTTAATGGATGACGATAATTTTTACATAAACCGAAATCAATTAAATGTACTATATGTGATTTCATTCCAAGACCAAATAAAAAATCTATTTAATTAAGATAAATATCAAAAGAACAATTTAGATTTTATTTTTCTGTACACACTATCAGGTTTTAAATCTCGATGAATAAGTGAATGATTATGCAATGCTTCAATACTACGTAATATTTGTTCTATAATCATACAAATTGTTTTTAAAGAAAATTTTCGTCCACAAAAATTTAATAAATCTTCAACTGATGGTCCTAATAAATCCATAGCAAGAACTGTATATTCATTATGTATACCAAAATAAAACATTTTTGGAATATAAATGCTTTCATACATTATTTCAAAAACATATTTTTCTATTGATAATTGCGGACGTGAAGTATTTGTGTTTTCAAATTTAATTGCAATTAATAAATCATTTTGATTTTTATCTTTAGCTAAATAAACCTTAGTAGAATAACGAAAATTTTATTATAAAAATAATAATAAATATTATCAAACATACTTCACCAAATCCACCACTACCTAAACGTTTTATTGTTATAAAACGATTTGCTATTACTTGAATTTCATCTAATGATTTATTTTTATCCGATTCTTCATTTTTTTTCAATTCTATTTTATCATTATCTATTGCTTGAAATGAACTTATTATTGATGTTATGCCTCTTAATTTAGATTTTCGAAGTACATTACCTAATGGTGCTTCAAGTTTTAATACATCCGACATAAATTAAGAAATAAAAAAAAACTTAATATTTTGCGCTTTTTGTTTCGATTCGATAGTTGAATAATTTTCTGTATGGGAAAAATTATTCGCTAGCGATGTCGCTTTGCAAAATTAAAATATATTTATCTCGGGATAATGAACCCACACCCACACCTTCCTGAAGTGACCCATATGTGGTCTAATTACTGTTTATATGATATATCAACATATGACCAATAGGTTTTTTTTTCGGAAGCAGAGAATCAAGAGAACATTTATTATGTGAAAACAACATCATTAACGAGACATCATAGAATATCTAATTTTGATTAGGTTCATAGTCAANGGTCTACTAAGCCACGATGTTTAAGTAGGTGAATTAGTTTGCATATATTTTTGAATTTTCTATGTATTCATTTTGTGCAGCAACTGGTAGATGTTCGTTTTCTGCATTGCAAAGCTTTATATCGAGTGCACCTGGTTTACAAACTACCGGTCAAAGCCAATTGATGCAAGCTCCACCAGAAACAAACGTTGTGCTTGGTGGTTCTTATATTGTAGTCATTTGTATGAATGGTTACACAAATACGGGTGGTAATTTAAATATAACATGCTCGTCAAGTGGTTCATGGAGTCCGTTTCCGAATTGTGTCTTAAGTACGCAGACAACGACACTTTCTTCGAATAGTGGAACAGCTTGTAATTACAATCCAAGCCTATTGACAATACCAAATGGTTATTCAAGTTCTTCAAATGGTCTTATGTTGCCGACTGCCACTCAAGCTGTATCTGGAGCATATATTACTTATATGTGTACACCACCGTATTCTCTTATAGGTAATTCGATGATCACATGTACAAATGGAGTTTGGTCACCACAACCTGTTTGTGCCGGTAAACTGTGAAAAAAAAACAATATCAAATTTGATCTGTTTTTGTCATTATCATATTTTAGCGTCCGGTCCAGGCAGTCTAACGACCATACCATCATCATTAAAATGTACGGAGGTACCGATTGTTGCTAATAGTTATGTATCATCGTCAACTGCCATACAATTTTCTAATAATGCATACCAAAGAAGAGTTGAGTTCAAGTGTAATCCTGGATATACATATGTAAGCACGTCAGGTCAACTTGTAGTATGGTGCATGAATGGTGTCTGGGATCGACTTCCTGTTTGTGTAGGTATGTCATTCATGTCTAAGTCAATTTCGAACGTATAGTATGAACTTTGTTTTTCAGCGAGTCCTTCTTGTCCAGTCAATCAATTACAATCAGCACTTGTTAATGTGGAGATAGTATCAAGATTACTTTATGCTGGTAATGGTGGTATTCTTGCTGGTGGTTGGATTCAACTTCGATGTGCACCTGGTTATAATCTCAAACCATTATCTGGTTCTCTGAATATTACATGTCTTTCAACAGGAGCATGGTCACAATTTCCTATTTGCTCTAAATAAACTTTATCGCTTGTCTTCGCATTATTGGTATTCATTATTCTTAGTATTTTTCTTTCGCTTTTTCCTTTGTTTCTGGTATACATGTACTTACTGTATTTTATTACTTATTTTTGTCTTTCTTTTCTTTTTATTTACATGATACAATGAGATTCATATACATAAATATAAAGGTCAATTATTGGTTGGAACATTATGGCTTCTCTCATCTGTTGATCGTTTCTTCTTTTCAACTTTATCACAGATTGTCGTAATCTAATAATCTGATAAAATATGTATTTTGAAATAATATCATTTATAATGAATATATGAAACATTAATCACTTTGGAGGAAAGAAATATTCTTCTGTGAATATTTAAACATAATTTATTTTTACTTGATCAAAAATATTTATGAACCGATCAAATCAAATCAAAGTTATGAGAAAATTTCAGATGAGCAATTTAAAATTTTTTCTCAGACACAACATTGACTACGAAAAAAATTTTATATTATTTAAAGTAGCAAAGAAAGTTAACAATCCATTGAACGAAAGCTTTACAATATTCATAAAATTTTTGTTTATTATATTAAAAAATAAAATAAATATAAAATATTTTCTTTATCTGAAGGGTACTGTTCCTCTTTTTTTCCGACCGTTTCTCGCTTTCAATGACGGCACAACGTATCAAGGTGAAATTTTTACACCAAAACAAATAAGGAGACAAATGTTCCAGAAAAAAAATGCGAAGTGGATTTTTGCCGAGAAATCCTGATTTTCCATAGGCAATATCTCAGAGGTAATGGTTCGAACTCTTGAGAATGCTTCCGAATATCAGTAGTAATAATTTCAGTTTGACCGGTTGTACTGTCTTCGAGAAGTATGAATGGTCATTAAAAAAGATGGTGTGGGAGTACCCTTAATTGTTAATAAAATATGTAATCTATCTTTAGTGTATTAAAGATAGATATTTTAATTAATTAATATATTTAAATATTATCTACAAATTGAATATTTGCCGATGTTTTTTGTGTTTTTTTATCATAATCATTAACAATATGAATTAATTTATCAGGATTTCTTTGTTGTGCTATCATGACTTGTGTTATATCTGTACCAAGTTCTTTTAAATGTTGATAAAATTTAGTTTCATCTTCATGTAGTAATTGTTGATGTTGCCGTTCTAATTGATTTTCAGCTTCTTTATTTTGTAAATGACTTGCATGTTGTTGTTTAACCATGTCAAGCTTATGTAACATTTGATCAAGTTCCATTTTTCGTTCTGTTTTTTAAAAAGAAAATTATTAGAAAAATACATGGTTAATCAAATAATCGTTTATTTAAGGTGCTGGTGACTCAAAATTTGAGAATAATTTTGTGACATCTTTTTGACATATTGAAACAATATTTTTCTATCCTGAAAGCATCAAGTACCGAAAGCCTTAATATATATCAAAACATTTTTCTTGATTTTACTCGTGACAGCTTATGTTAATAAATGATAGTCTTCAAGAAATTGAAGTATCAGCAAGCTTATCTTGTTCTTTCGATTCAACAAATAATTTGACTTAAATCTCATGCTAAAATAGAAGTGAGGGAGCGTAAGAAGAAAAATTCAGCAAAAATTAGTTTTTGAGTTTTAAGTATTGATATTCGTTGTTTTTAGAGTTATAGTTCGGATGATCAAAATCTCTGAAGACACACTCTTATAGGTAACTTGACGAGCTCTCTCCAACCATTACAAAAGAATGCTCCCTCTGCAACTTACCTTTTTGTGATCGTTCGAAACGTTTTTCTAATTTTAAATCTTCTAATAATTGTACTTGACGTTCAGATTCATCTTCTAATCTTAATTTAGTTCGTGTTTGAATCGCATTATCATTCATTAACTAAATCCCCCGCGACAAAATAAAAAGAAATAAAGAAATGAATTAATTAATAATCATACTTGAAGTTTTTCCGATGCTTGATACCCACGAAAAACAACTTTATTTATTTTATATCCAATTGTTTCAGATCTTGTTATTAATTGTGGATAAGTTTCTAATTGATTTAATTGATTAGCATTTTCAAGAAATGTTTCATATTTTCGTATAGATGCAAATGCAATCACGTCAGCACATACTGCATTGATCTGTATTTTGTTTTTTTTGTGGTAAAAAAATATTCAATAAATAGAAAGAAATTTTTTCTTACGAAATCTGCTATTGGATCATGTGTATTATTTAACATCGTTTCAACATTGATTAATTCAAAAAATATCATTAATTTGACAGTTATTAAGGCATCATCGGATGTTCGAACATCAGTTATATTATAATAGAATTGATCAGGAATAAGACGAAGTTTTTGAAATTTTTTTGCACCAGGTATAATATGAGTTTTATGTGTTCCATCTTCACCATGCCACGTAAATTCATGAATCCATTCATTCGGTTTTGGAGCATAAAGTGTTGGACCTTTAATAATATGACGTACGGATGATAAATCTATGAATAAAAAGTTTATTGATTATTTTATAAAAATGACCCTTTTTTTATTTTTACCTATTTTTTCTTCTTTTTCTTGTTGTGTATATAAAACTAATAATTCATTTGTATCAAGTGTAATGAGATCTTTTGTTAAAATTGAAACAATTTTTAATGGATCATCATATAATGCTACAGGACCAGGTTTAATATCTGTTGTTCCATCAACATATTTTACTTCTAAATATTGCATATCATTAGCTTGATGCATTAATAATGGTTGAATTCGATTTATGCATGGCCAAACAACTGCTAAACTTGGTCCATCGATATAGTTAGCATCACCGTTAAATTTCCAAACAATGGCACGACGTCCTCTTTTTATTTTACGTAATAAAACCATATTTTTCTTGAGCTTTTTATCTTTTGATTTATTCCTTCTTACTATTTGTATATATACAAGTAAATGTTGTGGCAATGTTTTTCTCTTTTTCTTTCCTTCATTTTATGGCCTTGTTCTTTTCTGTTTTTATATAGAAACATATTGCTTCGGAATTGAGTAATTACCATCATTGAATGAGTCATCGTGATTTGTATAATAGAAATGGCAATTATTCATCTAAAATGCCACGTTGCATGTTTATTTTGCAAAAAGCAAACGAGAATAAACGATAACTATGAATGACATTTTAATAGCAATCCTTAAAAATCATGAAACAAAAAATAGTGTCGATGAATAATAGTGTGCAAAAGAGCATTGACGCAAATTTCTCCAAGAATTAAATATCATTTTGATACAAGATATACACTAAGATTTTTCGAATTTTATAATAAATCTCGGTATTTATTTCATCATGTGTAATAAAAAAAGCAAGATTAGTGGTGGTGAAGATAAAAGAGTAACATAGAGCAATGAAGTTCATCCACTGAATAATTGATTTTGAGTTCGAATGATGTACATTATGTTGATTCTAATGAGCTGTCAATACTTTGAATAGTGTTTGGAATATGTAGCTTATTTTTGTGAAAAATATGAGGTTTGTACAGTAGATTTTAAGTCAATGTCTGCGGCCGATCTCAAGAACATTAGAAAAACTAATTTTCGAATACCTATTTGAAACTTTGTCAAAGAGGCAGATCTTAACAAGAATAGTTTATATTGTGAAAATCTCAGATCTTTCAAGTCAAAATTCATAAATTCATTTTCCGAGCATTTGTTAAGGGGACCATGACATTGACTTAAAAGACTAGAATACAAACTCAATATTTTGACAGCAATGAGTTAACATTATACCTATGACAGATCACCGTTCTATGACCCTGTTCTTTTTCGAGTCAACTTCTATTTTAATAGAATATTTTCTGTCTATGAATGAATACTGATGATAAAAAATGGTGTTATAGTTTTGATTACGTTTAATGCGCCATCTAATATAGACATGCTTACTAAATGTACTAGGTGCAAGTTATGTTAGTATATGAGTGCCTAGAAAAATACCGATTTTTGAAGATACTTCCTCTCGAGAATTGATAGCATACATAGCATTCAGAGCTCAAGATAACTTTCAATAACAGGTATTCGTAGGTTTGTATTGGCGATTAAATGGTATTCGTGGGTGTGGGTCTGGGTGTCATAGAAGAAAAGATCCACACCCATATCCACCCTTGGGCACCGAACTGAAGCCACTTTTTTCTCATTTTTACTAACCGGAACCGTGATTCTGATTTCGGTAACTTTTGGAACCACTGAACTCTATTATGGACACATTTACAAGCAATATTGCACACAAATCTTATGAAATGTTGTGCCATGATATATCATTGTGACGCATTTGTGATTCTAATCGATATACTATATTGTTTCTCTGTGTTGACGAATCATTTTCTTTGTTATCACTTGATTTTCATCTCATTTTATATGATGTGTTTATGCAATAAAAGAAAGAGATGATTATGAGAATGCAAATGATAGAAGATATCATCATACCGAAAAACATCAGCAGTTATTTTCAAGGTTCATCATATTTTATCTTTTAGTTGAAGAAGTAAGCTTGGAACCAGAAAGAGATACTGTAGAAATTGGGAAGACACAATCTTTGAGATTTTTCTTACGACTGAATTGATGCTCGAGCGATTTGTTCACATTTTTGATAAAGTGAATACATTAGTAGAGCATCGATAAAAGTCCGATAGTGTAAACAAAATTGAATAATTATCAAAATATGTCTCAACTAAGACATCTTTTAATCTGTAACAAACAGTTAGGGATGTCCAACAATTTCCAAAATTAATGTCTTCATGTCGATAAGAGATAGCGTGAGTAGTAGATATATCAACAAAAAAAAAAGAACCAAACATTAGTCGAGAATTAAAAGACAGAATCATGGCCCAAAAAATGGTATGACCAGTCGAAATTTGTTTGATAATAAATAGGTTCGATTTGTCTAGTCTAATACTATCTTTGATCTTACTCAAACTCTTTTAACACAAAACATTACTCTCAAATCTCTTTACTTCGAAGAAAAAAAACAATCTCTATCTGTATCTCTATGCT